AGTCCAGATTTACCTGGAAACTTGAAGTCGCACCTTATTAAGTCAAGTAAGTCAGTAAATATCATGTTTTCAATCTCGAAGCGACTATTTAGTTGTCTCGGGATAGTTTTCAGAGTTCGAGCAAAGATGATTCAGTCATGTGAGAGTCAAGTCATGGTTATTCAGTTATGAGAGTATTCAGGCCAGTCATGTTAAGATCGAGGATAGTTTGTCTAATAAGACAAAACTTATCCATCATTTTCAGTATGTCAGTGCCTCGATTCTCAACTTCTGAAGAATCTGAGAAATCGTGGGAGATATTAAGTCATGAGGGACTTCTTCTTGAGGTTAAGTTTAACCTCGGAGGGAGTATAAAGTTGAAGGTACCACAGGTTGACATTCGCCGCGATGAAGAAGAACCAATCGACAACAACGGATCGTGCCATGATGGTAAACCGACGCTTTCCATTCAAAGATGCCATGCCTGAGTCTCAGTACACTGGGAGATTACAGAGGGAGAGTCTTCACCACCAGCATTCCTATTGGAGATCCGCCAGCAGCCAGGAGATCCGCCAGCAGCCAGGAGAGGATGACCAACATATTTCAGAGTTTCGTTTTGAGATCATGTCTTATCAGTGGAGCACTTTCTTTCAGAGAAGTGTCCATTCTCAGTCAGTAGTATTCTACAATTCACTTAATTGTGAATTGATGCCTCTTCAGTTCAGATCAAGTCTTTTATTTAGTATTAAAATACTGGATCCTCAAGTCATGCAATCAGTAAGTATAAGCTTTAAGTTAAGCTGGTACATTTCAGTTTTACTGTTTCCGAGGAGCTCAAGAGGAGGTTAACTTCAGCACCGGTGTTGACTATTCCCGATCCTTCTCGGAATTTCACTATCTTCAGTGATGCTTCGAGACAGGGCTTGGGATGTGTCCTTATGCGGACGGACGGTCAGTCAGAGAGGACTATTCAGACACTTGAGGATATGCTTCGCGCTTTGGTTGTTGACAGGGGTGCTAAGTGGGAGTCACTGTTGCCGTACGCAGAGCTCGCGTACAACAACAGCTATCATTCTTCCATTCAGATGGCTCCTTACGAGGCACTTTATGGTCGCAAATGTCGTTCCCCTCTCTATTGGGACGACGTCGGAGAGCGACGAGTACTCGGTCCTAAGATGATCGAGGAGACAGCGGAGCAGGTCGAATTGATCCGGCAGAGACTCAGGACAGCTCAGAGTCGACAGAAATCTTCCACCGATCATCATCGATGAGACATTCAGTTTGAGGTTGGCGAGCCAGCTTTTCTCAGGGTTCGTCCGATTCGCGGAGTAGTGCGATTCGGAAAAAGAGAAGGAAACTGCAACCTCGTTTCATTGGTCCGTTCGAGGTTTTCGAGCGAGTAGGCGAGGTCGCGTATCGTCTAGCCCTACCTCCCGAGTTATCAGGCATTCATAATGTATTTCACGCATCGATGTTGTGTAAGTACGTGTGCGACCCCGATCATGTCATCCCTCATACGGATATTCAGGTTCAGCCAGATCTTACGTACAAGGAGCGACCGGTAGCTGTACTTGACCGTCAGGTCCGTCGGCTCCGGAAGCGAGATATCCCCCTTGTACGTATTCAGTGGGATCGCCACGGAGCTACTTGGGAGGAAGAGTCTGACATTCGCGCTCGTTTCCCAGATTTTCAATTCTGATGTACATATTTCTTTATCCTATGTACACAGTTCATGTATATCAGTCATGTTTT